ACTATTCCCCTCCACTTCGGTTAAAGTTATTAACTTTTACTTTTATCGAGTCGACATAATCATAAAAACTACAGTTTCTTTGATTGTGATTGGTTTAAAAAAACTCCTATTTTCCACTTATTCACTTGCCAAGTTGTTATCGGACAGTTTATTATCAAACAGTTCAATTTAGTTATCACTGGTATGATTACAGACCGAATTGGACTCCACTCAATTCTAGCTAGTGCCAGAACCTATTATAGTGGTCGTTATCATTTCTTTACCCTCGAAGGAATTTTCAAATTCATGTATAGTTTGTCCTTAGGTGGAAGAACCAAGCAAACAAAGCAGAAAAGTTTGTTTTGACCAACAAAGGGAAATGTCGTCAACGATTCCTATTTTCCTATGTAACAACTGGGATCAAGTATCCAAACAAGAGGCTGATTCCATCAAACATCGCGTCGTCAGGGCACTCAGAGAAGAATGGCATGAATTAGACCCAGATTTTCAAATCATTTACATTTCATCGCCTAACGCCACAAACGGAGGACTAGTTGTTGAGGAGTTTGCGTTGCTGATGGATGCTGTTAAATCCAGCGCCTTGCAAAATATTAAAGCAACGTTGCAAAGGCAGTGGCGGTACGTTCTTTTATGACTAGAGGGTCTTACAAAGCTGCGTGAGGATATCATACCGATAACTTGTATCTTAACTTAGCTGGAGTTGGTATTTTTGTCTTAATACGTTCTTTGCATCCCATTCCTCTCTAATTCTTTACCCCTTTTAAGAAGAGCAAAGTTATTTTTCCCTCATATCCTCATTTGATAAGGTTGACTCAGGTGCAAAGTTAAGATTATAATTTTCCACAGACGTCGACGCATAGAAAACTATGATGCTACTTTTCTATATAATCATTGCAAAGTGCTTCATGGAGAATTTTCCTTAACGTCTTAATGCGCACCATATCAGCACAATCGTAGTTTATGGCTTGCTAGTTTAATGTCCGAGTAGCTTATATCTTAGAATTTCCACATGATAAATAAAGCATCATATTTAATAAACGTTTTTGGTGAAAAAAATAAGTTGAAAATTTGTATGCTTTCTTCTCTCAGGTGGCTTGACTTCGTCATTTCACGTATGGCCTACCACATGAAAATGGTCATGGATTTTCTTTGCTCTCCCACAGATCGCAAAATCGTCTCTGATTTACACTCTGAACGCCTTTGTGACGTTGAGAAGCGGCTGTGCTCAGTAGAATACGAGTTGCAGGAGCATTTCAGAAAACTGGCAGACGACGCTGTAAGGATACTGTCCAACCACCTCCAGTCTTGTAAAGTTGTGGAAAAATTTACCTCGTGGACGCTAGACGATATTCCAGACACTGGAGAAAGTTGGGAGGTAACCGATTATTTTATCCAAGATGCATTGAGGGAGCGACTTCAGAACACGATTGCTGCATGGGAAGACGAGAACCAAATGTTGTCTCGCGCTCGCACCTTTATGGTCCAACTCTCCCACCAGCGGTTTGATGAAAGCAAGAGTTTCCTTCCTTTCCGATACCTTGAGAACTCCGTCATCGCCGATGATTATACTGGTGGACCAAATATTTGCCTGACCTCAAATGACTTCGGCGCGGCCCAAAAAGTTATGATTGGGGTGACAAGTCCAATTTGGGTTCCAGTTGGCTTAGCAGTTTTAGTTGGCAGTGTCCCTGTCATTGGTGCCGTGAGTCTTACAAAGAAGGTAGCAAATATGATCGATTCAAGAAAATACGAGAAA